TTGATCCCCAGCACCACATAAAAATAAAATAAAGATATTGTGTCCAGGGCTGGGGATGTGGCTCAAGCGGTAACGCGCTTGCCTGGCATGTGCTGGGCGCTGGGTTCGATCCTCAACACCACATAAAAAATAAAATAAAATAAAGATGCTGTGTCCACCGAAAACTAAAAAAAAAGAACATTAAAAAAAAAGATATTGTGTCCACCTATAACTAAAAAATAATTTTTTTAAAAAAAGAAAAGCCTGAGAAGAGTCTAAGACCCACACTGTGGCCCCTAAAGCTAGCCATGCACCTTTCTAAAACAGTCACCTGGTTGGGCCAGCCTCCCCATACTGCCCTCTCGAGCAAAACTCTTGGTTTATGTTAGGGACACTTCTGTCACCCAGCAACCCTGGAGAACTGTTGCTTCCCCAACTCAGTCGTTGACCTGGGCCCCCATTCTACTCTGGGGTTGTGCTAGGTCTATCAGAGCCAAGCCAGAGACGCTGCGTGGAAGTCTGTGGGTCGAGGAAGGAGGACCCTGAGCTGGTAGGATGTGAACCTTGAGCCGCTGGCTGTAGCTCTTTACATGGAGAGAACCTTCCTGAAAACCAAAGAGACAGAGGAAGCAAATCAGGACACAAAAAGCAGGCAACCTCCTGGGATCATCTTGGAGCACCTAAGCCTAGATGTGCCTGCGGATTACGCCCCAGATGTATGTAAATCAGTAAGTTTCGTTTTGCTTAGGCCAGCTTGAATGACATTTGTCACCCCCATCAAATGTGCCTATCACCACTCTCCAAAAGCCTATGCACACTCAGAGATAAAAATGGACATTTTTAATACCCCAAATTGGCTACAGCCACTCACACCCCTCACAGTGTCAAGTGCACCATACCTTCCCAAAGCACCAAGAGACATGGGGCTGGCTTACTGTTCATGCTTTCTGTACCTTCCTAGAAAATTCTAGCACTGGCAAGGATGTTGGGACCATCTTACTAGACCCTTCTGTATCCTCCGTGAGAAGAACGAGGCTCAAGGGAAGAGACTGCCTGGGCACATCCAGAGCGAAACAAAACCTCAAAAGGCTTGAGAAGCTGTTCAAAAGGGCCAGGCAGGCAATGTTATTTAAGAAAGCTTGCTGGGCTGGGGGTGTGGCTCAAGCGGTAGCGCGCTCGCCTGGCACGCGTGCGGCCCGGGTTTGATCCTCAGCACCACATACAAACAAAGATGTTGTGTCTGCCAAAAACTTAAAAAATATGTATATATTAAAAAAAAAAAAATTCTCTCCCTCTCTCTCTCTCTCTCTCTCTCTCTCTTTCTCTCTCTCCTCTCTCTATCTTAAAAAAAAAAAAGAAAGAAAGAAAGAAAGCAGCGGTGCACACCTGCAATCCCAATGACAAGGGAGGCCGAAGGTTCACAAGTTCAAGGCTAGTCTGGGCAATTTAACAAGACCCTGTTTCAAAATAAAAAAGGGCTGGGGAGGTTGATCAGTGCAAGAGCAATCCTGGATTCAATCCCTAATATGGGGAATAGGGGCAGGAAGGGGGAAGCAAGCTGCATTTATTAAGGTTGTCATGTTGCTTCAACCCCAGGTTTGAGAACTTGGCTTTCGTATTTGCTCATAGACATTATAATAAATAAAAATATTGGGCCTCATCTGGCATAAAGCTATGCATTCATTCATTCATTTTCTTATAATCCTTCTTCAAGACACACTCTGATAATTAGCTTCATTATCAGATGAAGAAATTGAGACCTAGTCAAGTTACCTTGCCCCAAATCACTCAGTTAAGTAGCAAGGGTAACTTCAAAGCAAGGTTGTCAAATAACAAAGGCTCGGCTGAGTTGGAAGCACCAGGCCAAGTTCCTGTGCATAGAGTTGATTTAAAAGGTGCACTGTCCCATCTTCTGCCCTTGATGGAATAGTTTTTCCCCTTCAGCTCTGATATTCACTTCTTTAACATATTTAGTAATCCAGCTTTAAAAAAAATAAAAATTGCCAGGCACAGTGGCACACACCTGTAATCCCAGTGACTTGGGAGACTGAGGCAGGAGGATTTCAAGCTTGAGGGCAGTCTCAGCAACTTAGCAAGATACTTGTCTCAAAAATTTATTATTTTACTTATTACTTATTAAACCCAGGGATGCTTAACCACTGAGCCACATCCCCAACCCTTTTTATTTTTTACTTTGAGGAGGATCTTCACTAAGTTGCTGAGGGACTTGCTAATTGCTGAGGTTGAATTTTCGACCCTCTAGCCTCTGGAGCTGTTGAGATTATAGGCATATACTACTGCACCCAGCTCAAAAAAATTTTTTTTAAAAGGGAATGGGGATATAGCCCAGTGGTAGAGCATCCCTAGATTAAATCCCCAGTACTTTGGGGTGGGGGAGAAGCAGAAAGTAATAAGTGTTGGTGAGGATAAGGAGAAATGAGAACCCTCATACATAGCTTATGAGAGTGTACAATGGCGTAGCTGCTGCAGGAAGCCAGGCTAATAGTTCCTCAGAAGTTTAACACCGTCACCGTATGCTGTGGTTTATATGTCCTGCAGAAGTTCTCCGATGCAGCAGTATTGGGAGGTGGAAACTAGTGGAAAGTGTTTGGGTCATGGGAACGAAGTCCTCATGGTTAGATTAATGCTTTCCTCATGGCCCTGGATTAGTTACCATGATAGAGGTTAAACGCTATCATGCTCTCACCAGAAGCCAAGCAGATGCCAACATCATGCTCTTGAACTTCCCAGCCTCCAGAACCATGAATCAAAATAAACCTCTCTTCTTTGTAAATTATCCAGTCTCAGGTATTCTGTTATAGCAACAGAAAATGGACTAAACCACCACATGACTCAGCAATTCCACTCCTCAGTACTACAGAGAATCAAGAGAAATGAAAATGTATGTTTATACAAAACCTTGTATGTGAATATTCCTTGCATTATTCATAACTGCCAAAAATGGAAACAACCAAAATGTGTATTAATGCATGAATGAATAAACAAAACATGGTCAATCCATACAATGGAATATCATTCAGCCATTAAGGGTTGGGGATGCGGGCTGGGATTGTATCTCAGTAGTAGCATGCTCGCCTAGCATGCATGAGGCACTGGGTTTGATCCTCAGCACCACATAAATATAAAATAAAATATTAAAAAAAAAAAAAAGGGTTGGGGATACAACCCCAAATGTGTTAGATAAGTTAAGAATGCATGCATAGGATGCAAAAGGTTCTGGGTTCCATCCCTACTACCAAAAAAAGGAATGAAGCACTGATTCATGCTGCCACATGGATGAGCCTTGCATACATGTTGAGTGAAAGCACCCAGTCACAAAGGGTCTGCATTATTTGATTCCAGCCCATAATCCCAGTCACTCTGGAGGCTGAGGCAGGAGGAGCACAAGTTCTAGGCCAGTCTGGGCAACTTAGCAAGACTATCTCAAAATGAAAAAATAAAAAGGGTTAGGGATATAGCTTAACAGACAGCAGTCCTGGGTTCCATCCCCAGCTCTGCAAAAAAATCAATGTCAAGGCAAATCCATACAAAAAAAATCATGAGATTAGGAGCCACCAAAGGATGGAGGGAGAAGCGAACTGGGAGGTGCAGGGTTTATTTTTAAGATGATGAAAGTGGTTTGGAAATAGTGGTGATGTTTGTACAATATTGTGAATATACTAAAGTGAAATGTACCCTTGGAGATGGCTAAATGGTGAATTTCATAGTGTGAGAATTTAGGGTTAAGCCATTGTTATTCAAACCACATGGTACCCCCTGTGCCCTACTTTTAATCTCCCTAGGGGCTTCCCATCACACCAAGAGTCAAATTCAAATTCCCTGCCGGGGCCTACAAGGACCTAATGACTTAGCCCTGCAACTTCCACCACCTCTTCCATTGCTTGCCCCCTCACTCATTCAGGTCCTCCACACACCGAGCTTATCCTCACCTCTTAGCATTTGCACTTGCTCATCTCTCAACCTATAATGTATTAGAATGTTCTTTCAGGGAGCTGGTGGTAGAGCGCTTGCCTACCAAGTGGGAGACCCTGGGATAAATCCCCAGAACTACCAAAAAAAGAAAAGATCTGGGGATGTGGCTCAGTGGTAGAGTGCTTGCCTAGCATTCAGGAGGCCCTGGGTTTGATGACTAGACCTGACTCCCCCACCCCTGCAGGGAAAAAAAAAAAAGTGCTTTAGAATGTTCTTTCCCATGGCTGATTCTTGCCAATCAGGTCTTGTTCAAATGCCCTCCCCAGACACTGAGAGGACCGCCCTGACCACCCTGCCTAAAATAATGCCCCACATTAAGGGTGGCAACAGTTCTGATCACTATTAGAAAATATATGTAGTTTACTTCTTTATTGCTGGTTGCTATAACCAAAAGGGCAGGAACCATATCTGTCATATTCAAGACCACCATGTCGGCAAGAAAAGATTTTCTGGAAATAATGGATTTAATGGAAGACTTCCTTTAAGATCTGAAATGCCACCTGCTGCCCAATCCAGAGTTCAGAGCACCAAGTCCTCAGCCACACTCTGCAGGTGCCCAGGGAGTTAACAGGCATTTGCTGAGCACAGAGTGCCAAGCCCCACCCAAGGCTTGTCTAGAACCCTGAAGAAGCAGGAGGACTAATCCCTCCCCCAGAAAGCCTGAAAGTCTTTAGGGGTCACAAAACGCCCAGTGTTTACCCAGCAACTCACAAACAAACACACAGCAGAGATCTAAGATTGCATTGCTGACACCCAAGCTGGAGGCTAGGGTCCAAATCAGCCTCATAAAAGCATGTAATGGCAAACACACTCTGATCCAGGCCTTCTCAGGACTTTGCAATCTGACCTGTTCTCCACAATGAGACGGTTGCAGCTCACACCTGCCCCTGCCCCTTCCCAAGGGGACTTTCTATTTAGAGGCAGTTAAAAGTCTAAATGGGCAGGTGATAGTGAAAGCCTCTCCCTTTTCCCTTCTCCTGTTCCTGTTCCTCAGCATCTCTGAATCACACACACAGCCAGCAACTTACCCACTAGGAGTTTGACATCTCGGACTGTGAAATCAGGATCAGGCATCCTAGAAAAAGAAGCACAGACACTGGTGAGAAGCCAGAAACAACAGAGCCAGACTCTACCCTGCCCAGGGTGAAGCCATTTTTCCAAGTGGGGTCCTTGCTCTCTGTTTGGAATCCAAAATGAGATAACCTGGATAGAGGGCAGTGGATCAGGTAGTACCTCAAGGGAGGGTCACCCAGAACCATGGTGCCCCTTCCCCACCCCTAGAGGTACATCACACCTAAATCTCAGCCGGTACTGTGCCTGCCTATAATTCCAGTGACTTAGGAGGCTGAGGCAGGAAGATCACAGTTCAAAGGAAGGCTCAACAAATTAGCGAGACCTTAAACCACTTAGTGAGACTGTGCCTCAAAATAAAAAAGGGATAGTAATTTTGCTCAGTGGCTAAGCACCCCTAGATTCAATCCCTAGTATCAAAAAACAAAAACATAACAACAACAAAAAAACTCTGAACCTCAGCAGAGAATGGGACATCTACCTACCACCCCACCCTCACTTCTGCAGGAAAGACTCAAGTGTGGTGTCAAGGGCCAAACACCAGCTTTCTTTCTAGGGACAGCCCTCTCTGTGTCTCTTTCTCCCTCTAAAAAAAATACTCTCCACAGTTGTATGGAAAGTGGAAAGAACCTCTTTAAGTTCAGAGGGAAAAGAAGACAGACATTAGACCATTTCCAGGAATTTGATAACCCTGCTACAATGATTATGGGAACTATTAACTAACAGAGATGCTGAAGGTTTACTTTCCACTCCTAGGAGCATGACTGGTGAGCAAGTCCAGCTTCAGAGGCTGGAAAGGAGATGGCCTAGGATGACACCCTGAGCCTCCTCCTCTGTCCCTGCCCAAGGGGCAGAAACCTGTTCTTCCAGCCTGGCTCTGATCTCTCCCCCACCTGGAGCTCTGGTAGATCTCAGCCAGAATATAAACCAGACACAGTGGCAGGCAAAGAAAGGGGAAACGCTGGTGCCCAGGGAAATATACCCTCCATGGAAGGGAGCAATTTCCCATACACTAGCTAACATAGCTCAGGGTCTGCCAGTTTCTTGGTTCAGAGTTGAGGAGCAGGACAGGTACGATTCTTGGTAAGAGGTTGCAATGTGAAGCCAGATGGATCAGGGCAGAAGTCATCACTGTTCAAGTACCCTAAGTCCTCTCTGCCCAAATTCCTAAAAAAGACCAATCTTTAGAGAGCTTTCCCCTTGGTCAGGGCTTGAACAAGGAGCCGCTATTCCCAGATCATGAAAAAAAAGTTCCCTTGGTGATGAGCGGCAGGAAGAAGGTAGAAGAAATCCACCCAAGCTAGAAATTGAGTTAGGGAGGAAGACAGGGGAGAGGCAATTAGTGTCAGCAACTTACTTAATTCCTAGTCCGTCCTTTTCTCGAAATATCAGGGGAACCCTGAGAGCTTCTCTCTGTACGTACTCATAGTTGAAATCTGTTTGGATATTTGAATTAAAACAAGTTGGTTAAGTTATTCAGGAGCAAATGAACCACGAGCCATTGGTGAGGGGAAGAAAAAATGGCAAAGGAAGGGAGTGAGGGGGTGCTAGAGGGAGGCCTGACCTCAGTGGCAGAAGCTCCCTGGAAAATGGCAGGGCCTAGTCCGAGAGAAATGGCAGGGAAATGGCAGGGCCTAGTCCGAGAGAAGCCATGCCAGTGATCGCTCCTTTGCCTACTCAGTCATTCTCTGCATGCCCCACGGGTCCGAACTTGTCAATGAACAGCCCAAGGCTAGCCAGGGTTGGGGAGGAGACTTATAAAGAGTCCCACACTGAAAGAGACCCAGCTAGTGCTGAGAAAGGGGGACAGACAGGAAAACGCATCCCTGGCTGAGCTCAGAGAGTAAAGGGACTGCAGAACTGAAGAATGCCACCTGGGAGGATCTGAAGCCCCAGAGAGGAGGCTGGGAGGAGGGCTCTCATTGTAGCTGAGCATCAGTGAAAATCTTATTGTAATATCCTGCATCGTGAAGGGGAGGGGGGGAAGCCGGTTTCCCTGGAAACTGTGTATTTGGTGCCAAAATAACTAGGGAACTGGGCACAGCTTTGTTGTCTTCATAGTGAAATTCTGTCGGAGCCATCACACCGCTTGCTTCCACTGGATCACCAAGAAGGATGCTCTCCAGGTAGGCTGCACAGAGCAGGCACAGCAAGGCCCAAGAAAAATCCACTGGGTAATTTCCTAACTGGGATTTGTCTGGTAGAGACCCCCAAATCTTTATCCAAAGCCCTGGAGAATGAAGGGGGCCTTTGATTAATTTCTTTCCTTCCTCAATTCTCCCCAAAAATCAATGAATCTGACCCAAACACAGCCCTAAATATGGAGGTGAGGGGAGCTGATATCAAACCCCCCCAAAGTCCAAATCACGTCCCCCAAGTCCTCAGGTGACTAAAGTATCCCACAAGGCTACAAGGCCTCTCTGACTGGTCTGAAGTGAGAGAAGAGTCCCGGGGCCACTGAAGGCTGCGGCCCCTGGCGAACAGTTCACTAGGGCCTTGGGGGAGGAGGCCAAAGCTACTGGCTCAGAAAAGAGAACAAAACCATGGCAGGGAAAGCCCTGACCTCAGTGGCTCAGATCCCCAGGGGCTCACAGTGAATGGGGATTCCTAAGGATTTAAAGGAAGGGAAGTTTAAGAAGCTTCTATTTTTGAATCCAGGCGAAGGGCTCCTTCTGTTTCTCAGCTCCTCCCTCAAGTTTTGGGACCAGATCTGAATTAACTAGTGAAACCCTAAGGCCCGGTCCTTTGAAAGGATCCAGGACAGCAAATTTAAGGATGCCATTTAGAGCCCCTGGCTGGTAACCTTCCCTGCCAACACACCCAAAGCCCTGCACTACCCCACCCCCAGCTTCAACTTCCTCAAATGAGCCTGAGAAAAAGTGCTGAAATCCTAGGCTGAGGATTCCTGACAAATGACTAGGAAAAGTTTACATACTGTTTTCTCATAGACTCTGCCAAATGACTCTATAAAATGGGGGGAAGAAAGGAGAGAAATTAAAATCCCATTTATGTGCAGAAAATTTACATGCAGTTAGGACTGGCACCCTGCTCTAGGACCAAACACGCTAGAAAAAATATCTTCTTCCCTCCCCACATTTCTCCCCAACACCACCAGAGCCCAGGGGGGCAACAAGCACGAAAGAGAAAATTCAAAAATGCAAAGCCAGAAAGATCTCTCCTCCAGGCCAACTCAAGGCCTAGCCACTCATCCAGAACCCACAGGGAAGCACCTTCTGGCTGTCAGCTCCTGGAGAGGGAAGGGTTTCCAAGAAGGTGGGGAAATACAAAATAGAAAGTGAGTAACTGAAAGGACACCCAAACAGCTGAGAGGAGAAGAAAAAAAAAAAAAAAATGAACACCATACCCCAGGAAGGCCTGGGGTGAGAAAAGGCATCTCCAAAACCCTCACCCCACAGGCCCTGTGGAAATCCAGGCTGCAGGGTTGGGTGGGTCATGGCTCCAAAAGCCTCAGACCCAAGCAGAAGCAACACCCCAAATCTGTCTGGAGGACACCCTGAGACACTCTTACTAGGAAGGTCAGGGAGAAAGGCAGGCCTTGCTAGATCTCAGGCTAGGCTGTACTCTGGCACCCTGAGCTTCCCCAACTTCTGCTCCAACTGGGGAGGGTTCACAGGAGACAGACAAGCCTCAGGCATGGGAAGAGACCCTATTTCCCCTAGAAGTGCCCCAAGACTTTACCAGGGAACAGGAATCTCTCAGCCTTAAGCCTGAGGGGAAGTCACCCATATCCCCCACTCCAGCTTCAAACTGTCAACGCTGCAGGCCTCAAGCTTAGGTGGCAATTCAGACCAACAACCCTGAGCGCACCTCCCCAGGCCTATAACGGGATGCGAGATGCACTCCAGAGACCCCAAGCCTGAGGAGGTGTAACCCCAATAACTCAAAACGTTCCATCACCAGCTCCTAACTAACAGAGCCCGAGAAAACAGTGGTTTAGGAGGCTTCGAGTCTGGGGGGCCTCACCCCGATGTCTCAGGAGGACCCCAGAATGAGGCTCCTCCAGTCAGGCGACTGCACCTTGGGCAGCGCAAGAGCACAACCGGCTGAGGAGGTGGAGGACGCGGCGCTCACGCCCTCCTTCGGTCCGACTGTCTGTTCCCAGGTCCCTCAGTCCATCAGCCCTCTGGTTCTGTCCACCGTGGTGCTGGTGGTGGGCAGAAGCCAGGCCTAGGCCTGCGCCCGGCCCCCTTCCCGCCTGCCCTCCTCCCTCGCCACCCCACCCCACCCCACCCCCAGTGCTCGGCCTCGTTTCGTCACCGGATCCCCTGGAATGGGGGACGCGGGCGCGAAATACGAACCCAGCCACCGGCAGCTCCCTCCCCACGTGCGCGCGGCCCGCGGTGCGGAGGACGGCCCGGGGAGGGGGCGCCTCACCTTTGCCCTCCATGGCGTGCACGAAGTCCCCCTGGTACAGCTGGCTGCGCAGCTTCTCTTCCAGGCTGAATCCGCGGACGCTGACAATCTCCTCCACGTCCGACAAGTCTTCGTTCTCGTCGTATCTCTGGCGATCAATCGGGCGCTGCGAGGATCCAACCAGAGAGCCCGCGATATTATTGTAGGAACTGGGGGGTCGCCTCTTACCCCGGGCCAACACGAACAGGTGCAGGAGTGCACGCCCCCTGTACCCCACCATTGCAATCTGAGCAACTTTGCGCAAATGCCAAAGATGCTGAAAAGCAGGAAAAGGAGAGGGGCCCACACCCCCAGGGTCCTACTGCGCCCTACACGACGAAGCACTCTCCTCCTGCATCTTTGGAAGCCATGGAAAGGGTATCTAGGGGCTCTCCCACGTCCCCCATCCCCGTGATGTGTTGAGCTTTGCCCACTCAGCCGGGAGCCTGGTTATGTAACCCGCAAAGGGGGCTCCGGACACGAGCTGGCGGGGCAGATGTAGGCCCCGGGAGGAGCCGCTGCAGCTCCGGGCTCGGCGGTAACAGCCGCCCCGGCCGCGGTGGAGGCAGAGCCGGGAAGCCGGAACCGGGGCCGGCGGCGTTTCTAAGGCTGGAGCCGCTCCCGAGCTACCGGGGAAGCTGAAAAGCTGAAATGGAAGGGCTGAGACCCCAGCCGCCCCCGCCGATCGCCCGCCAGTACGAGAAGAGGAGGTGAGGGGAGGAGGTGAGGGGCTTGGGAGGGGGAGAGGCAGACGGCCCGCCACAAAGCTCCCATCGGAGACCCCAAAACGCACCAGCAGCTGCCTCATCTCCCCACGAGCGCGCGCGCACACTCACTTCCTAAGGAGACTCCCCCACCACTCCCCGCATCCCCCTACCTCCTCCCTCCACCGCCCAGCGCCCGGCGCGGCAGCCCCCCAGATTCCGGGCGAACCCCCAGCCCGCTTACCACCCCCTACGCCTTTCCAAGCTACCATCTCCCCACTTAAGTGTCTGAGACTCTGAGCCTCACAAGGGACTGGAGGAGTAAGCTGCTTGCTTCCTTTTGCATGCAATTTATTATTTTTTTCCGGTCCTCTTGTAAAATACAGAAAAGGAAAGAAAAGGCAGCAAGAAACAACCGAAAAAAAAATAGAGCTATCATATACCAGATACAGATTTGGAAAAAAAAAAAAAAAAGCTACACACCAATCTTCTTCCAGAGTCTTTCTCTGCCTCCATTTTTTTAGGAGAGTTCACCAATTAATTGTCAACACTCCTGCCCCCTGCATTTTGGCGGAGGGGGGAAGGAGGGAAGACCAAAGAAAACAAACCAAAAAATAAATAAATAAAGCAAGCCAGAGCCGAGATCTACAAAGTTTTGCACCAACACTTAGGCAGATCCGTTTGCAAAGTCCTAGGAAACCATTTTCAGCAGTTGTGGGGGGGGGGAGGCGTCGACGTCATAATCCCCGGAACGTAAACATTGTTGCCGATCGCGCTCTGAGCCCGCGGCCGGGCTAGTTGGGGGGGCACTCGGCCCGGGATGGGGGGGCCGGGGCAGCGGCCCGAGGAGGTGTGGGACTGGGAGGGAGCCCGCGAGGCACCGGGCGCCGTTAGCGCCCTGGCATCGCTGTTTTGTTGTTGGGTCACGAGTGCGCCTCTGCACGCAGGCGCCGCCGCCGCCCGGGAGTTGTGTGCAGAGCTGACTTTTGGAGGGCTGAGTTGCAGGCGACTGGCGCATCCCGGAGATGGCGGGGCAGGGAGGGAGGGAAGGAGGAGGGGGTGGGGAGGGAGGTGCAGATTTGCACGGCTGGCCTCAGCGGGAGGCGCGGAAATGCAAGCCGAGCATGCTGGTGTGAAAGCCCCCGGGCCCTGGCACCCCCAAAACGACCCCCCACCTCAGTCCCTGCCCCCACTGCCCACGGCTGCCCTTCTTCCTTTTCCTTCATCCACCCTACCCCACAACTTGCGTTGGCGACCCAAATTCAAAGCATTTGGGGGATATATATATATATATATATATATATATATATATATATATATATATATATATATATATACATATATATATATATACATATATATATTTTTTTTTTTTTTTTTTGCTATGTAACTGCATGTCTTTTTGGGGAGGAGGGGCAACCCTGTTTAGACCCCCATTTGCGAACCCGCCAAATGGAGGACGCATTTGATGGGCTCAGAAATAAAATTAGTACAGCTCCATATCTGCATGGACTCAATACTTTTAAACTCTCGGACTGAAAGATAAGAACACACACACACACAGGTACAGGAAATACAGCCAGATCGGAGCCTTTTCAGACCGCAGGTGACCGGAAGACGTTGCCTTTCATTCATTCATTCTGCTCGCCTCCGTGGAGTTCTTCACTAGCCTACGATCCCTGAAAGAGAAGTTGGACTTTTTTTTTTTTTTTTTTAAAGGTCCTTGCGCCCGCCCAGTGGAGAAAATTGATGCTCTGGAAGGAAATACTCAGAGAATCGGATCTAGCGTCTCCTAACGCAGCTTGCAAGCAAGCGAAAGGTAAGCCCTGGTTGGTTGTTGACAGGAGAAGAGTTGTGGAAAGGCGTGTGGCTCTTGGGATGGGATACGAAAACCTTAAGCGCACCTGGACTGATTCTATATGACTTTAGCGGAGATGTGGCCACCCTCTAAGCATATATAGAATGTCATTAGGTCCGGGAGTTCTCCCATGTCCCCCTTCCCAATGCTTGTGACAACCTCCAGAGTTGTCCTGTAATTCATCATGAACACGGAGAAACGCTTTACTCCAGACCAACTCTTGTGTCCTGCAAGGCCTGGTCTTAGGGGTTAAATCTCCTGATAAGATGACATGGCACCTGGACTACAATAAGGGACATAGTAGGTGCTCACAGCTGGTGTCCACGTGCTATTTTATTTCTGCCCCTAATCCTGTGGGCTAGTTGAAGCAGGTCATTTTGCAAATTGGGAAACTGAGGCTCAGAGAAATTATGAAACTGGATGACTACTCAGCCTTCAGTCATTCCCATGTAACAGGCCATTAGACCTGGGGAAGAAATGCGTCCCTCACTCACCTTAATTCACTGTCATTTCATTCTTGTAGTTTTTGTTTTGTTTTGTTTTTTTTCATGTGACCCCAAAGACTAATCTTTAAAGTTTGTTTTACTCTGTGTTCACTAGCTGTAAAAATCTTTTAAAGTAGGTATGAAGCTAGCAAACACCAAACTTTTGTCTCCAAACTGAAATGGCCTATGTTGGTTCTGCTACATCCAATCGACAGCCCTTTGTATGTGGCGGGCTCTTTAGCCCTCTATCAAGAAGTGGGACTATTTTATTTGCTTCTGTCTTGAGAAAGAGAGAACCCTTTCAGGGAAACCATCTCGAAATTCCCCATTTTGCAAATGATGAAACTGGGACTCAGGAAGGCAAAGCCACTTTTACCCAAGATCATACAGTTTTCCTGTGGGCTATTGGGGTTCCAATTGGAACCTGGCTTGTCTATCACATGCCTTTTCCGATATTAATCAGGGTCACTGCTCCCACATAATGAAAAAACAAAACCAAAACACTCAAAGGAGGGCTTCTGGGCTGGAGGGTGGTGAGAAGTGAATTAAGTGAAATAAAACAAAATTGGCAAGTAGGATGCAGGATCTTCGCCCTTCACCTTTTTTCCCTGGGATTCCTCTCTCATGTGGCTTCCTGGTGTCCCCCCAAAAGCTGGCACTAGGAAAATGATGGGGGGGGGCAGCCACCTTAGTGTGAAAACAGTTAAGCCTATATATCACCTCTATGGGGAGTTCCTGGCCTGTCAGAGCAGGAAGGGGTTGACTAGTCACCTAATTTAATCCCCTCCCTTTACAAACCTCCAGGAAACTGCAAACCCCAGAGAAGAATGGGCCAGCCAGGGGCTTGTTCCCCTTTGACTCCCCCAGAATGCCTATCCTGCTGCTGGGCCCTAAGTGGTCACTCCATAAATGTTGGGCCCTTGATGGATCACCTTCCCCAGCATATTTGCATTTTCTCTTTATCAGTAATTGGCAGATGAAAGGCTTTGTCCTCCTGTTGAAAGAATTCCAAGCATTTGCTGAAAGTGGGGGAGGAGGTTATTTTGGGCCAAAGGGGGAAGGGCCAAGACCCTTGAGCTCCAGCTTGGCTGATTGTCCCTGAGGAGCTGAGAGTAGGTGAGGGAGGGCACAGAAGCTGAAGGTGCTTATTTAAAAGATGAACTTTTTTTGTAGGAAAACACCAGGCCAATTGCATTGGAAATTAAATAATAATGACTTTCCTGGACTCTCCGGGAGTGTTCTAGCAACAGTAGTCAAATCCTGCCTATTATCCCCATTCATTCATTTCTTCCATCCTCAAAGGTTGATGGTGCAGCTCTGTGCCCAAAGACTGAGAAGACAGGAAAGACAAAAGAAGAAACAGCTAAACTTCCAGGCATACTCCAGGCAGGGGCTGGAGAAGGACTAACAACTTCCCAAGGAAGAGGCTGACTCTGGATGGAGCCCTCAGAAATCAGAATCCAGGATTTGGGGCTATTAAGACACTGAAGCTCCTAACTTTTGAGAATTTAATATGCCTTCAAGCAAAGTCCCTCACATTTGCTATCTCTTTGAATGCTTGCCAAAACTCTTTTTTTTTTTCTTTTTTTTAAAGAGAGAGGGAGAGAGAGAGAGAAAGAATTTTAATATTTTATTTTTTAGTTATCGGCGGACACAACATCTTTGTATGTGGTGCTGAGGATCGAACCCGGGCCGCACGCATGCCAGGCAAACGCGCTACCGCTTGAGCCACATCCCAGCCCCCTTGCTCCTCTTAAGGAGGAGCAATGGTATAATTCCTTACTTCTATAGCTGAGGCTCAAAGAATTGTCAATTACTTGGCCAAATTTTACAGCTGTGAAATAACGGTAACAGGATTTGAACCCAGACCTTGTAGGAATCCAGGGCCCAAGGACTGACCACTCTGTAAGCCCCTTGCAGGGCTGTGCCATACAACCAGATAATGGAAATATTGTACATTTGCAATTGTTTTCTCTAGCCACATCTTGCTATTGAGCCCCTGAAATATGGATACTGGGCTTAAAGAATTAAAATATTTATTTATTTTTGGTACTGGGAATTTAACAAAGGAGCACTTTATCACTAAGCTACATCCCCAACCCTTTTTCATTTTTATTTTGCGATGGAGTCTCACTAAGTTGCTAAGGCCAGCCTCCCTAGTCACTGGGATTATTTGCTTGTACCATTGCACCTGTCAAGGAATTGAATTTTAAATTGTGCATGTGTATGTGATGTGTGCATGTTCTGAGGGTTGAACCCAGGGCCTCAGGCATGCTGATCGCTGCTCCACCATTGATCTACACCTGCAGTCCAATTTTTAATTAAAAAATTAAAACTGCCCCAGAGTGTTTTCCAACATTTGTCTTAATGTGCTTACTAAGCTATATATACACATCAAGGTCTGATTTGGCTTCCAGGAAACATTTGTGGAATGAGTGAAAGGTCCATACGGGAAAGAAGTTACTAATATCAGTAACCCCTGGAAGAGGACATCTGGTACAATGTGAGTGCCTATGATGTTAGCCTTTAAACCACTTACTCTGAGAGCCTGCCAGGAACATGGTACTATATGGGAGCCTGAAGATACAAGTGGATATTAGACTGGCCCACCTGCCCAAATCTTTCAAGGACAAATAATTGGTGATGAAGCAGGAATCCTAAGACCTGGGTAGCCACTTCCAGACATACATTCCAGGGACAGACCAGGCCTGGTGACTCACACCTATAATCCCAGCTGCTCAGAGGCTGAGGCAGGGGGATCACACATTCTAGGCCAGCCTCTATAACTTAGTGAGACTCCATCTCAAAAAAAAAAAAAAAGAAGAAGGTAGGGCTTGGAATGTAGCTCAGTAGTAGAGCACATACCTAGTGTGCCCAGGGCTCTATTCCCATCACTAAAATAACAATAATAATAATAATCAGCAAGATAACTATTATATGTGTAGAATTTCCTTTGGAAAGACCAAAAAAGGTTGCGGGGTGCTGGTAGAACTGGAGAAAAATTAAAAGGAACTATTCTTTAGTAGAATGTCAGATTTTACCACATGTATATATGGCTGTTGCCTGATTTTGAACCATACAAATTCAAGTGTTATTTTTTTCACCAGTACTGGGGATTGAAGCCAGGGGCACCCCACCACTGAACTACCTCCATTTTCATTTTTTTTTTTTTTAATCTTTGAGACAGGGTTTGGATAAGTTGCCGAGGCTGATCTGGAACTTAAGATCTTCTGCGTCAGCATCCTGAGATGCAGGTGTATGCCACCTTGCCCAGCCCTTTCACTACTTCTTTTTTTTTTCTTTGTGGGGGGCAGTTTAATGGGGCAATGAATCCCCCAAGGGCATTCTGCCACTGAGCTAAACCCCGACCCAGTCCCTTTTATTTTATTTGAGACAGGGTCTCTCAGTTGCTGAAGGTCTAGCTAAATTACCCAGGCTTGGAATTTTCAATTCTTCTGCCTTGGCTCCCTCAAATTATAGGGTGCGCCATCACACCTGCCTGAGTTAATTTCATTTTACATGTTATAGTGCCTTTTGAATTTCATATTTTTTTTTTTTTTTAGTGTTGCCTACTCAAAAATGAATTCTAGGAATAGCTTAGAGGTAAAGCACTTGCCTAGAATGCATAAGGCCCTGGGTTCAATCCCAGCATCTCAATAAAAAGGAAAAAGAAAGATGTAGAAAATAAAAAGCATTACCAAATCTTAAAAGAGTTTTGTCCCATTTTATAAGACTTTTATTAACTTTATCCTGGGGAGACAACAGATGGTGACATTTCTGTTAAAGTGATTGTTCTCAAAGAACTTTTTTGTTTGTTTGTTGTTGGGTTGGTTGCTTTCTATTTTTTTTCTTTTCTTTTTAATTTGTTCCTTTTGTATTAAAGTGGAAAAGTAAGAAAGAACAAATTAGGGGCTGGGATTGTGGTTTAGTGGTAGAGCACTTGCCTAGCATGTGTGAGGCACTGGGTTCCATCCTCAGCACCGCATAAAAATAAATAAAGGTACTGTGTCCATCTACAACTAAAAAAAAAAGAAAAGAAAAGAAAAGAAAAAAAAAAACAAATTATATACAGAGACCAATCTTCAGGCCTTAACTATTTTGGGACGCTTGATTTTCTATTTAAAATTCAGCATTTCATATTCTCTCTCTTCCTATGTGAGGATTGGAAAGAACCTTGGAAATAACAGGTGAGTTAATTAAAGGGTTAATGCCAGGAAACGAGTCATAAAAGTTCAAAGATTCTTTTATAAACTTACATCTTTGGATTGATGAACAAGTGTGTGAGCCAATAGAAATAAAAATCCAGGCATTACTTCATCGTGCTCAACTGTCATTGGCTGACAATCCCTGAGAGATGGACCAGAGGGCTGGCAGTTAACCCTTTCAGGGTGGAGCTTGCCCTCTGCATTCATTTTAATTTCAAAGATGAAGCAGGGACAGAAGAAAAGTCTAGAAGAGTCCTCAGATCCTCAAGTGCCAAGTTTGGATCTAACCTCAGAAGGCAGACTTTACCTAGCAAAGAAATACTCAGGGACAAATTTTCTGGAGAAAAAAAAGTTTTGAACTTTTAAAATGGGGAAATGAGCTGACCTTGCCGAGTGGGAGGAGAGGGGAGGAGAGAAGTTTGATGCACCTTTTGTGCTGTCAGAACAGAGACCTAGGTTGGAGACGATTCCATTAATCTTGCAAAGTGATCAGTCACTGAGAGGATTGAATTGCATTTCCTGCCCAAAGATGTAGAGACAGATGACCTTTGCAGCAGCCCTCAGACCCCCAGCTCACAGCTGGAGAGAGGATGTGTCAGCATCTACTTTCGGGTCTCACCCTGCCCTTTGTTCAAAATTCAAGCCCTTTGTGTTGGAGCTGCTCAGGGGTTTTGGTCGTTGTTGATGCTGCTGATTTTTTTAACCGCCCACATCTTGAGACTTCTGAGAAGCAAACTCTCTATCTGGCAGAAGATAATATCTGGAGGTGCCCCAAAGAGAGAACCGGAACAGACATGGGGAATTTTGAGAGGCCATTGGACCTTTTGGCTTTAATTACTGCCCTTTCCTGGGCTCCCTGAGTGCTGCAGGATGAACCGATGGAACCAGGAGTCCAGCAGAACTAATCGTGCCTCAGGTTTAGACGGTTCTGTTAAAAAAAGCTTTGAGTACATTACCCCCATGTAAGAGGCATTGCTAAAACAAAAGCATTTGCATAAAGAAAACATTCTAAATTCCCCAACAGTGAGCTACCAGACTTTGAACAAAAATGCTTAAACTGAGTCTCAGTTTCCTGTCTGTGAAATCAGGGTGGTGATAATGCAATGGCTTGGGGATTGTCTTCATTCACATGAAGAGGACCACCTGGCTTCCATGACCCTGACAAGGAGCTTCCCCTAACAGGTTAGCTGTCCCCAAGTTGAAGGCTGACGGGGAAGACTGCCTGAGAGGGATGGCAGAGCCCTGATTCCCCAGCAGGGCTCCTTCCAAACCTGACCACGCTGTGCTATGGATTTGGATTAAATGTGCTCCTTTTTCCGCCTTTAGGCCTTTGCACATGCTAATCCTGTCCCCCACTCTGTCCTACCCTCCAAACCAATGGCTTCTCCTGGAATCTGCTTAGATAGAGCCTCTTTTCCTTCCCCCTCCTAACACTGATCACATTACTGGCTTTGCTAGATATCCTGGGGGGTGAGGGGGAGGCAATTCCAGGACCCCTGCCGATTCCCAAACCCAAGGATGCTCATATCTGTTTTATAAAATGGCATAGCATAGAGCCAGGCTCTGTGGAGCACACCTGTGATCCCAGCGGCTAGGCTGAGACAAGAGGATCATCAACAGTGAGGCGCTAAGCAACTCAGTGAGACTCTGTCTCTAAATAAAATATAAAAAAGGGCTGGGATGTGGCTCAGTGGCTGAGTGAGTGCCCCCTGAGTTCAATCTCTGGTACCCCTTAAAAATAAATAAAATGGCACATCGTTAACATAACCTACCCACATCATCCCATCCTCTCCTAGCCTTTAAATCATCTTGAATACTTAATAACTAAACACTATGTAAATAGTTGTTAACACTTGCATTGTTTAGGGAATAATGACAAAGGGGGAGAGTAGGGAAAGGAAAGAAAACTGCAGAAGTCTCCAGATGAAGTTTTTTTTTTTTTTTTAATAACTATTTTTAGTTGTAGATGGATACAATACCTTTATTTTGCTGCTTATTTATTTATTTATTTTAATGTAGCACTGGGGATGGAACCCAGTGCCTCACATGTGCTAGGCAGGCACTCTACCACTGAACCACAACTCCAGCCCCAGATGGAGATTTTTGTGATGTTTTCTAGGGATGGGGATAAAGGACAGTGATGGAGGGTGTGGGGGGTCCTGGGTTCCATCCCCAGAACCACTAAAAAAAAAAAAATTCCATCCTCAGATGCTGAACCTGCATATAGGGAAAGCTAACCGTATATACAGACGTATATTCTCGTCTGTGTTCTCACTAAACAGGGATCTCTGGGAGGGCAGGGACTCCACCTTCCCTTTCTTTGCATCTTCTACCTCACATAGCATCACTGTGTACTTACTCTAAAAACCCTTGTTGAATGGTGGCCCAGCACCCCACGGGATAGCTCCTCCACCAAACTGCTCACCCTTGCACAAATCTAAAAGTCACAGTGTTGGGGCTGGGGATGTGGCTCAAGCGGTAGCGCGCTCACCTGGCATGCGTGCGGTCCGGGTTCGATCCTCAGCACCACATACCAACAAAGATGTTGTGTCCGCCAAAAACTGAAAAATAAATATTAAAAAAAAAAAATAATAAAAAAAAAAAAATAAAAGTCACAGTGTTGAAGATTTTCTTTTTCATGGCTTAACCATATTATAATGCCCTTTGCAGATGATGTCAGTGGCTCTTTAACCCTTCTCTCAATGACGTTAATTAGCCAGTTCTACATGAAACGTGACCTTGATTCATACACAGAGCAGCCTTAGTAGGAAACCCCTCCTCTTCACCTGGCAGCACCTCTTCCTGGCAGAAATAAGGGCTTCCCCTCCCCGGTGAGGATGAAATGTCTTGAATGAGGACCCTGGCTCTTCTCTCTAGCCCCAAGAAATCTCTGACACCACCTCCTGCAAATAAATGGAGAGCTGGCAAGTTCTTGCAGATTCTCCTCACAGTAAACTTCTCTCTGGGAAGGAACCTGTGTTCACCACCTAACATCTGTCGTTAAAAGGCAAAGTCCCTGAGAATATTGACCTCCTCCATCTTATTACTGTCTTCAGCCCTTAGGACCTGCCTCCTGAAACTATTAAAAAAAAAAATTATTGAATGAATGAGTAAATTCCTCTAATGCCAAACTGTATTTCTTTTCAACTAAACCTTCAAATGTACCTCTTTGAAGAAGATACAAATGTTCTTGGAGGCACTCTTGAAGTACAAAAGACTAATGTTAGTGTGTAGAGTAGGGAAGGGGAATGATGCTATACACCTATCTAGCTCCACAGCCCAGGATGTTCCACACACTGCCTCCATGGATCATGAGATCAGTTGGGCAGAAATTGAGCTACAAGGTCACCTGGAGGCAGAGGACCAACTATCCTCACCTTCAGTTGAAACCTGTACACTTGCACCCTGCATCCTCCACCAGGACCCCCAACCTACAAGTACTAAGTGGGAGAGGAGAGGCCACACTATTGCCATATGGCAAAGGCATCCTTAGGGCCAGGCCTGGAATTAATCACTGGACCCCTGGGGTCTCCCTACCTGTGGCCTGAGGGCTAGAGACATAGGGCTAAAGGAGCAAGAAGCAGGGCCAGCTAGGGCAGACTGGGGGCCTTGCTGCAGGGA